TTATTTATTTATTTATTTATTTAGTTATTTATTTATTTATTTATATATATATTTATTTATATATTTATATATATATATTTATATTTATGTTTATATATTTCTTTATTTATTTATTTATGTATTTATTTATTTATTTATTTATTTACCTATTTACTTATTTATTTATTTATATATTTATTTATTTATTTATTCATTTATTTATTTATTTATTTATTTATTTATTTGTTTATTATTGTGATATGAAACAAAATGGCTTTGAGCGCTAATGTAATTCAAGGAAAAATATTGCCATTGAGCCACAATCCCTCCTTGACCTTAAAAAAATTTGTCAAAAATAGTGGTCTTCGAAAAAAACATGCAAAATCCAACGGATATATTAAAAAAAAAAATTTTTGTATTTTTGATTATACTAATATTATAGATTTGGAGACGAGAAACACGACTCCACTGTTTAAGAAATGAAAACCCCTCAATTTGAAGAATGCATTATATATTGCATTTTGTATGATTTGCATACAGCTGTGCATCCTTCACACAATTTTATATGCCTCGAGCAACAAGTAGGTTTTAGTGCTATTCAAGACCTTTAATTTAAGCCAAGGTAGAAGTCTCTAGGCCCTTAGAGAGCTAAAGTTTAACTTCGAAATTTCATTCGACATTTAACGAAATTTTTTTCAAATTTTTCCCTCTTCAGATTCCTATAGCGGTCCCGTGTAGCGCGCGTTGCGCCCGATCGCAGCGTGGCCCTGTAGGCCGCATCTTTTTTCTCTGCAGCTTCCTGACACTCCTCATCGTACTAGTTGTTCTTTCGCGCTCGCTGAAATCCGACTACTTCTTCGGCGGCGGTACTTAATGAGCGGGAAATGTGGTTCCACTGCTCGCATATGTCGGTTTGTTGATGAGTGCTCTCTCAGAGCAGGTGTGAAAGTCGAGTAGCGAAAGCACTGGCTGTCTGTTGTGATTGCAGCTTTTCGACGTTAAGCTTTCCTTGCATATTTCGGCGTACATTTTTTGCTGCACAGAGGCGGGTGCATATCTTGGCTGCAACAAGATATGTAGTAGTCCGAGCCGATGTTTCGGCCTCAGAGCGTGCGTACGTTTAAACTACTGGAAGCGTGCCTTCCGTTATCACAATATGATCGACTTGGTTTCTCGTAGCTAGGGCAGCCTAAGAAGGGCTCGATCGCAGTATGACTGATCAAGGTTTTTTTCTTTGTTTTCAACCGAGCCTACTTCAGTTTCAAGTTACTGGCCTCCAAAAAAAAGGTTTAGTTCCGCGAAACGGAGAAAGGTCCACCCAAAAATAGCAACATAAAATTAGGTCTAACTTTAGAAAATACATACATACATATGTATTCATACATATGTGCGGAAAAAATTTATCTAAGATATAAGCTGCCCAAAATAGCATATCAATATTTATTTTTATTTTATAATAAATCTTCTCACACAAGTCAATAGTAAGCCTCACACGTTTTCAGTAAAAATTGGTCTTCTCTGAACTAACGTTCACATGACGCTCAACAAAATTTGGCATTTCCAATTTAGCCACCGACTCCCGTGGATACTGCTGATAAACACGATTACCGTCCAATTTTACACACCTAACATCGTCCGGCTGCAGATCGTGATACATAAAAAAGTTGGTATTCCAAGGTCCGATATGCGGCGGCGACACTGGCTTTTTCTTCTTTATACCCATCAGCTTATTCCGCATGTCGATGAGACCGCAAGAGCGTGGCATGAATATTAGCACCAGAACTATACTCACTGCAGTCAATAGTATAATGAAAATACCCATACCGAGTAGCTCATGCCATACATCATCGGTCTTCGTTTCATACTTTAGCACCTCCAGTACAAGCAACTCAATGGAGTAGCCAACAGCCAAAGCCAGTTCCGTATAAAGCAATGGCGTACATTCGAGTACAAGCTGTAGGCCTACGCTGGAATACACGCCAATACAAGTGTAATAGAAACACAAAAAGTAGAAACAATGTTCTGTCGAAGTATCCACATAAACACCCAATATCGCGGAGAGTGCAGTGATCTTAATTACGCCGAACATTAAATAAACTAATTTTGGCTGGTAACGTGCCATCAAGACACAACCTATAGCACAGCCGAACGCGTATAGCAGAAATGGACCATACAGGTGCTGGGTTACCCAGTAGGCAAAGGTTGAGCTCCAAGCTAGCTGCAGGTATGACGAAGAGTAGATGAGCGCACGCTCCAACACCAGCACCGCTGCTATACCCACAACCAGCCATTGGCGATTTCGTGTCACATAAAAGTCATCCCGGCTCACAAATAGCGCACAGATCGACTTATTCGGCAGAAATACTAATTTTTCCTCATTTAGCAAGTTGAATGCAAGATCATAGGACACTTTGTAATTGTATACGCCAAAATATTGGAGCACTTCATTGACCACCACGCCAGAGAGCATGAACAATGTAATGCACAAGTAGATCCATCCGCAGTAGTTTGCCTCGAATTCATTGAATATGCTGAAACCCACTGAGACGCCGCTGAAATAGAAGGTGTTGCCCAAAGCTATGCGCGCCGGTCGAGTTCCGTGCGACGAACTGCGTATGCTGATGTAACTATAGCAGGGAATGAGCGTGGTACCAACGCCGACGAAGCCGAAATAGAAGCAGATATCTGTATGAGAATATTCAAACTATATATGTGCTACCGCTTGCTCTTCAATACATACGTAAATAGGTATGTACTTACTATGTACATACCTAAGTTATTTGTTAACATGAAGCAAGCGCTGATAACGAAGCATATCAATCCGTAGAAGATGACGTAGAAGTGATCATAACTATACTGTCGCTGCATATATTTCCTTAATGTTAGGGCGCCAGCCAAGGCCACAGCTACAATCACACCAACCATTGCATACCAATGCGTCCATAGATTGTCGTAAACGTAGGCGTATTTGCAGTAATAGCCAAAGTAGCAGCCACTGCCAAATAGACACAGGTAGACTGATAGAAAAACTACTTAGTAAGATTCGATACAAATCAGCTACTATTTGTTAATACCTACCCAAAATATCTGGAGTGTAATGCATTTCTGCGTATGCCAGTTTTCACAACTGCTCTTACGAATGGTTCCAAAGTGATTGATTCACTTTACTATTACCAAATTCTTGCATTGATCATACAGTAATCATTTATGTAGCTACGCATTGAGATAAAAGAATGGCATGTAGCGCACGTTATCTTTCACTGTAGAGATGATGTCATTGGGGAGCTTATGGGTGGGAGAGGCGGCCGCCGTGGTGTAGTGGTTAAGAGTGCGCGCTACCACTCCGTTGGCCATGGGTTCAAGCCCGGTTCAACCCAACATCAAAAAATAAAAAACAAAAAAAAATTTTTTTTCTTATAGCAGTCGCCACTCGGCAGGCAATGGCAAACCTCCGAGTGTATTTTTGCCACGAAAAACAGCTTCTCATAAAAATAAAATCGCTGTTCACAGTCGGCGGAGAAGCTCGGCCAAACACTAACAAATGTGGAAGCGCCAATCTATTATTATTATTATTACATATGTATGTATGTGAGAGTTTTATTTTGCACAGAACGGGCACTTGCAGTAGTGAACATTTATTTTCTTCTTTTATACTTTCTGAAATGGATACCTCGCTGAATCTAAAACTACTTCTGATATTTTTGGCAATATGTTTACTTTAAGCGAATAACAGAGCAATTCTGGGGCCTATTTCATAAACGTGACAGGGGCGACAATTGTCGATTTTTCTATAAAATTTCAGAGCCAGAATTGTTGGCGACATTTTTTTTGTTTCATATACGCTTGTAGGTGACTGTGATTTTTTTCAGAAAGCAACAGTGACAGTACTGGAATATTGTCGACAATGGTGCTGACAATTGTCACTCTGACAAAATTGTCACGACTAACTAAATAGCTCCGTCGGAATGTTTTCACAGGATTTGTTTATATGGTAATTGCGCACATTTCATCAGTTTTCAATAATTTGAATATTACATATGAATTACATAAAAATTTCTTATGACTGGCGACAATTTTGTCAACGACAATTTTAAAACCCGACAATGATAATTTGTCACTTTTTCAATGGAGTTTCTCATGGAATTGAAGCGGTGGTGACAATTGTTTTTATGAAGCAAAACAACCACCAAACTGTAGAATTGTCAATGACAATACGAAAAATGCCTGTCGTTACAAAATTATCCCTGCCACTTTATGAAGAAGGCCCCTGGTATTTTGTAAGACAATTGAAAGACAGGTCGCAATCGAGAGAATCATTGGGCAGTGGAATTTTTTCTTTTATTTAGATAATTTTTTTTCTATTCTTTTATTTTTTAGATTTTATTGTTTTACAAAGAAAAGTATGTGTTTTTTAATTTTTAGAAATTTATTTTATTTTTATTTTGTTATGTAATTTCTGTCCTTTTTTAATTTAATTTTCTTTTAATTTTTAAAGTTTATTGTTTTAATTAAACATTTTTAAATTATTTAATGTTATTTTATTTTTATTTTTTAGATGTTATTGTTAAAAAAATAAGGTTTTTACTTCAAAATTTTTTAATTTTATAAATTATTTTTTTTTAATTTTTAGACGTTATTGGTTTAAAAAGAAAAATGTGTTTTTGTTTTTAAATTCATTTAAGTTTTACAAACTTAATTTATTTACTCTTTCTTGTTTGAATATTTTTTTTTTATTAAATTTTAGTTCTAATATTTTTAAAAGAAAAAATATATATTTTTTTACTTAATTTAATTTTTAGAAATATTTTTGCTAAAATACAGGACCTCCACGTTAGCAGATTTTTTGAATTGGTCTTTCGAAAGACAAAAAGAGCTTTCAGAAAAATTGCCACAATTTCCCTGTAAACATCGCAATGGTAGTTGACGCGAGGCTGAATTCTCCGTCAACTTCAAATTTAAGTTTCAAAATTTCTGCGGTTTGTTTTAAACAGAGATTGCCGCTATCAAAGAGAGAGACTCCGTTAAGTGAGATCAAGGTCACAGTAACTAGCAGCAAGCTGCATGGTTAGTGAGTTGACAAGGCTGGCTATTGTCCGAGATCTTATAGGGGTTTCTTTTAAAAGTCCGCGCCCGAAAAATAAACTTTAACAAAATCGTAAAAAAAATTTAAAAATTCCGTTAAAATTAAGCCGCTTATTTAACGGGTCTTAATAAAACGAAAATTCTTGGACTTACTGTTTGTTTCTTCCCAAGCTTTGGAAACTAGTTATAGAAAAAAATAGTAAGCAATATGATTATGTGCGAGTTGATCTTGTCACGCACATGAAGGAACCTAAAGTTCCAGGCCGCCTCCGAATGGTAAATGGCTTTATTAGAAGCGATTTCATGGCAGAAGTACACTTGGAGGATTGAAAATGCGACGACCGCGGAACGGGAGTTGCGTAGAGCAATATTTCCTGGAACCTTATACAGCATCTGGATGAAAGTCTTCTTTAAATAAAATTCAAAAATTTAATGAAATGGTAAATCTTCCGGCTATTAATTTTTGAGGAAAATTATCCTTTTTGACTATTTTAAATAATCAAAAAATTAAACAAAACGAAGAAAAATTTCACCTTTTAAAAGGCAGGAAAAAATTAATAATTTTTACTTAAATCTAAGCAAAGCGGCAACGCTGGTTTCAGGTACACTGAGAAAAAAATCAATCAAAAATTTGTAATAACCAAACTCAAATTTGAAGAGGAATCAAAGAGATTTTTGTTTAATATTAACAATGTCATGGTTGATATTTTTAACAATGATTTGGTAATATCAACTAAACTTTTCATTACATTAAACAAATTTTTGCATGCCGATTTTTTCGGCATCATATGCAAAATAACAAAAATTACATATCGCCTCTGACAGCATTCGAGCCCGCACTTACTGGAAACGAACGAATAACGACAAGCATCTCTGTTTATACTGACGCACGAACGGCATTAACAAAAAAACCAATTAGATAAATATTTTCAACAGATTTCCTAGCCCCACCCCTGCAAAGACTCGTACCGAGTTTGGTGAGTATTGGTGAAGCGGCTACTGAGACCAATCTACCTTGGATAAGGGGCAACCTTCCTACCATTGAGATATCTCAATTTTTGCTCTAGTTATCGTGTACGCGGACAGACGGACACACAGCCAGACATGGCTTAATCGACTTCTCTATTCATTCTGAGCATGTACATATGTATGTATACATTTTCCTATATCTATCTCGATTCGTTTTGGCTGTTACAAACAACCGCTTTGTGAACAAAGTTAATATACCTCTGAGCACAAGCGCACTCGGGTATAAAAATATTGTAAATATTAGAAAAAAATTCAGCATGTGAACACTTATTTGAGTCACTGTATGTAATGAGCAAATCATCTCTCTTTCTCTGAACCGACACTCAACATCGCACGCAACTCATACGCACCGTTCACCCACTGAGCCAGCATCAACACTACTTACTACCTACCTTACGCTTTTGATTTGAGCGGGATACCAACTGCGCAAGTACAAATAACTCGGCTAATATCGCGGTGACTTTCATGAATGAATCTGCCGGGCTGTTGCAGGTACGTACATACATACATAGGCACAAGAGGGCTGCTTGTCGTTTTTCACCCTTCAATATCCGGTGCACTTGTTTATCTACCATAACAAACCGCTATAGCCGCCATTGGCGCTCAGGAAGAGAACACTTCTGAATACTTGGTATAACGACGAGTGCAAGTGACTGACGGATTGTACGAAGAATCGAAGCAATCGTCAACCGCACTGTTCGGTTATATGCAACTAGGAATAAACCATACTTACATATATATACATACATACATATGTAGTATATGTCAAACAGTTTGTGGCATTAAGGACTTCGTCTTTCATTTTGTGTAGGTACATATTTTTTTGGGGCCGACCAAACAGCCAGCTTCAGCAACTTTGTATGTACTACAGTCAGTTATGCTTTTTGGCTCTTGCTTTTGAGTTGGTTTTGTTGCGGCTTCTGCTTCCTTTTCAAATTCTGTTGCGTTTTGTGTTTTGGGCTGTCATTCGCCTCAAGCGTTTGGTGGGGTTGTAAGGCAAACTGTGGCAGCTTTGACGCTAGATGCGGTCGCTGATAGTATTCAATAAGAGAACTGTGTGAAGTGAAGTACGAAGAAGAAACAACATTGCTCGCTATTTTCATGGCGGATATTTGACATCTATCGCGCCCGCAATAGCACACATACATATATATACTTGATACATATACATATACGATAAATGCTTTGCTTGATTTCATATATGTTTGTATGTATGTACGAGTATGTTTACACAAACATACATATCAATCGGCCTGATTGGCACAAACACTCAATCGCTTACTAACGGGGTAATATTACTTGTATGTAAGCAAACCAACCCTTTGCGATGGGAAATCGTTGCAGGATATTTTGGAAATTTTCCTCTTCAGCAAATCAGTGCAGTTGTGCAATTACCTTTGCAACAAGCTAGTTGAGTGCAGAAAAATAGTGAGATTGAAAAAATGTAGCTGCAAAAGTGAAGTTTTTTTTTTGTAATAAGAATACCTACACATATTCGAAAAGCATTTAATATAGTCAAATTGGCAAAAAAGAAAAACGAAATTGTGCTTCTAATGTGAATTGATGGAGCAAGTCAAAGGAGGCCAGAATGTTTGTAATGAACTGGTACAACACTCTCAGTAATCGCAGCTTGGCGATAACGTTGCTCATTTGCATATCCTTAATATATGTATCATATACATTTAATTCGTGCCTATTGACCAGCATCAGTCGTACATTTCAAAAGGTGTGCACTTTTATAATAACTCCATTTTGTAAAAAAAAAAAACTACATTCGCATACACTTAAGTAGATATACACTTTTTGTGCTCAAACTTACTAAGAAACAAATTTTTCTACACCACTTTTTTTGTCACAGAATCCGCTACGCAGCCTATTATTTTCTGCAGATGCTTTAGCTGACGCCTCGATTGCTGCAAGCGCTGCTAAACTTCATGCGCCCAACGAGATGGGCAGCGCCACCGCAAGCGCTAATGCCAGCTTGTCAACGAAGCACACGCCGGAAGCGTTAAACTTAATAAATCGCAGCTCTTCCGCTGTGCGGCGTATTGTGCCACTAAGTGGCGCAAACAGCAGCAGTAGTAGCAACAACAGCGCCAACAACATAGCCGGCACTGCACCGCGGGAGGCTGCTGATGGTTCGCCCAAATATCGTTTCCTACGCCAACAAGGCCTACATCCGTCGCGTCATCTACCCGACACGCTCATCATTGGCGTTAAGAAGAGCGGCACTCGCGCGCTACTCGAATTCATACGCCTACATCCGGATGTGCGCGCCGCCGGCTGTGAGGTGCACTTCTTTGACCGCCATTATCAGCGTGGATTGCGTTGGTATCGTCACCATATGCCGTACACCATTGAGGGTCAAATAACAATGGAGAAGACACCAAGCTATTTTGTGACAAAAGAAGTACCGCAGCGAGTGCATCAAATGAACGCTGCAACAAAGTGAGTAGACGTGAAAAAGGAGGGCAAGTAAAATATTTATGGTTTTCTAGAGGACGAGTACATTGGGTCCACTTGCTATACAAAAGTATTCGGACGGCATTCAAAAAGTTTACTTTGTTAAACAAAAGAAAAGCAACACCCTCGCCGTCCTTCAGTCGCACCTTCTACGAGACAAGGGGGCACCCTTTGCATTCCAAATCAATTATGTACACTTCATCAAAGCTTGACTACATATTTACATACATACATTTATTTCATGTTGTGATGTGTCAAAAATTTCCCTGGAAGAAGAATTATTCCTACACTTATGGTTGTCCTTAGTGGACCTGCTTCAGCAAAACTGAATCTAACGAAGATCTTGGTTTAAAAATCTAAGACTTTTTCTATTACCGAACTCCTTTACTAGAGAAACAAATAACTGACTTATTGAGCTTATTTTTCTTAAGAAACAATTTGATCGGTTCACTCCGGGAAAGCTTCACCACACTAAGATCCAAGCACTCATGTCCAACAAGGGCGGCTGTTATCATCACAAGCAAACCGTCTCTAGTCATACTCATGTAAACTGAGGCTTACTGGAGTGCTCTAAGAGTTCCGAATCTAAGCAGCGTGAAAAGTAGAGATTCATTCTCAACTATATTCCAGGCGATTCGATTTTCGCCACAATAAACCGTGTTAAGGCTAGTAGATAGTTGCCAAAGTGTACTGAATATGCTAGGAACCCGATAAAGGTTATCATGTGGTAGATTCCTTGTCATGAGGTCCGCCAGCCTTTCTGTGATCTATCCAAGGGGTACAAGGCAGAACTGATAAGAAGGCTAAGGTAAAGTAAGACTTTCTGGTGGGATTAACTGCTGACTCTGTCGGCTGGTAGAGTAAATGGCAGAGCATATACTTTGCGATTGCCCACGTATAAGTACAGCTTGGAGAACGACTATTGCCTTCATCCAAAATCTAGAACATAACACCCTTCAAAGTACTAAACTTCGTAAGTAACCTAAGATTCCTCTTCTATGCCAACTGACCCCAATTCGAAATGCCAAGTGAAGCCAAGTCCTTCTCCTCCTGGCCTTTCCAACGCAGAGAAAGCCTTCCTGTTCTTCTTGAATACTTTCAGCTGCAGCGTTTCTGTCCATTCGTATGGCCAAGCTAACGTAGCCGCTGTATTTCAATCCACCGTACTATTTCTATATCGTAGTAAAGCACATACAGCTTTTTATATGCAGTGTTCTAAAAAAAATGTCTTATGTATCTGATAAAGTTGTGGTTGACTGGCTACAATATGCCCATTCGATTTTGGTTCGAGGAGTTCCAGTACTGGTTTCCGAAAACCATGATTCTGTCTCAGTAAAAGACTTGTCTCAAATTTCTGACTCAGAACATTGGGTTGCTTTGTAGTAGCGTTGCCTGAGTATTGGTCCAGGAGCCAATTAGCGATGTAAGCGCTATTGTGATATGCTTTCTCTCCTCTAATACTATCTGTTTTCAGGATTCGTAGGAATTTTCAAACCACTCTTGGTAATGCAGTATTTAGGAACTTCGTTTACCGCACTACTTTCTTTGAGATTACAACTACAACACCGAAGTACATACAGCAGGACATTTTAGCTACATATTCAGCAAGGGACGAGTGGCCCGTGATATCTATTCTTGAACTGCTGTAAAGCACTTCCGGTCTTGATTGTCATTGTGCGCCCATACATACATATTTCTGGCAGTTTTGTAGGTTTGGAGGTTGTTCTATCGTGACCTAGCCATTCGTGCGAATGGCAAGTTCTCTTTGATTACCCTTAGTGGAGAGTTTATTGTCTCGGCTGCGGATTTATTAAGAGATGCTCCAGCCTTAGCCAATTCGTAGCCGTGAACATTCCAAAAGCTGGGGACTCAAACACGTGATATAGTATTGAATCAGCCGTAAAGTTTAAAGTACAGTTTCAATATCTAACTAACGGCAGAAGTGCTGCATGGCTATCTGAGAAAATGTATGTTTTTATACTGTTTCAAACTTCCTTCTCAATATCCCACTGGCGCTATCAATGACCAGTACTTCCGCTTGGAGATGCTGGCAAACTGAGTTAGTCGGAAAGAGAGTCAGACGTCCAGCATTTAAGAGAATATCAGAATCAAATCAAACACATCCGTTTCCAATGCTGACCACCATACTAACGCACCGTAAGTTAATATTAGCCTTGCAATAGCAACGCACATCCATACACAGGCCAACTTTTGGCTTTAGTATCCAGTTTCTTCTGAAGATCCTTTTGCGGGTCTAATAGACTTTAAATGCTTCTGGTACGCGTCTATCGATATTTGTCTTCCAACTGAGTTTGGTGTCTAATAAAACAATCAGGTATTTCACGTCGAAGACAATGTGAGATCCGTTGAATTTACGGAAGGGAGTCTGAATTGCGTTCTATTCGTTTTCTTCGTGAACAGCGTCAGTTCCGTTTTACTCGGATTGGCACTAAGACCAGTTTTAAATGCTCACGAGTGAAACCTGAACACAGCTCCCTCTAACATTTCACTAATCGCTGAGGGTATAAAACCTGATATTGTCACCAATATTTCAGCTGCATCATCCCCTCTGTCGAGTTCTAACAAAATATCGTTCAGGCCACCAATGAAACGTAGTCTTTATGGGGTTCAAACGAATGCGTAAAATTCTCCTATGCAGAGCGGAAACCATGACTGAACGTAACGCATCATTACCACGATAAAACGAGACTGTGTTGGAGTGGCCGTCTATAACATACGACCCAAATCTACATAATTTCAAGTGTCTTAATGTAAAGATGTTAGACAGGCTCCGTCCTCATTGTCCGGTTATTCAAATTGCCATACTTGTGTTCCATCTGCATTCAATCACTTTAAATTATAATTACTTTATATTGATTTTCCTCACTTCAGACTGCTCATTGTGGTGCGTGATCCTGTTACACGAGCCATATCCGACTACACGCAAGCGGCCAGCAAGAAATCGGATATGAAACGTTTTGAAGACTTAGCCTTCGTCAATGGCTCATTTGCTGTGGTTGACACCGCCTGGGGACCGGTTAAAATTGGAGTTTATTCACGTTATCTGGAAAAATGGTTGAAATATTTTCCCCTCTCACAACTTCTATTCATCAGCGGTGAACGTCTTATCATGGATCCGGCGTACGAGATTGGACGTGTACAAGATTTTTTAGGTCTCAAACGTGTAGTGACTGAGAAACATTTTTACTTTAATGCCACCAAAGGTTTTCCATGTCTATTCAAATCGGAAGCGCGTTCAACGCCACATTGTTTGGGCAAAACGAAAGGACGCAATCATCCACATATCGAAGAAGCTGCCATTGAACGTTTACGTGAGTTTTATCGACCGTTCAACAATAAATTTTATCAAATGACTGGCATAAATTTTGCATGGCCCTAAGGGTAGTAAGTACACAAATATGTATGGATGGATGTATGAGCATAAGTAACTATTTAAGGAAATAAGAAGTTTTGTTGAAGCTTTAAAAGCTTAACAAAAAATCAAATTTACGATAATCGGAAATCTACGATATATGTATTGCATATTTATGTACTGTAACAGCTGAAGTTGTTACATATGTAAATGCATGGTTACAGAAGTGGTAAAGCGCTAGATTTAGCGTGCGCCTGGAAAACGCACAATTTTTTGCTTCGAAACTTTATAAACGAACTTTGCAATATCCTAGTTTACAATTACGATATACAAACATAAATACATAAAGGCATATAAATAGATAAGTTACTTAATACTTAAGTGTTTGATACGCGCTGAAACATCAGTAATTTCCATATACTCGAAGATAAATACATACATACATACATGCGTAAATACATATATTAAATACTACATAACGCGCACAACTGTTGTGTATAAGGAGTTATTACTGTTATTTAGGTTGATTAACTGTACAAATATCTGCAACATGTTATTGGGGGGGTGATAAAGTAATGCAAAATAAGTAGAAGAAATCAATAGACGAATCCCAAATATTTAGAAAGTAGCATGAAACTTGTATCTGTATCGTATTGCAAGTATGCATGTATGTATGTTGACCAACACGTCTGCATTCAAATCGATCTAACATTACATTTCATTCGAAATATGTACACCCCGCTTCACTTAAATAGGTCCTTTTTTTCTTTAAAACCCGAGCTTATTTACAGCCGCACTTGTATGCATCGGAGATGCCTGATTTTAATCTCATTTGCTTGTTTTTTGGTTCACTAGAAATTGGTTGATGGGTATACTATAGAACTGAGCAGAAAGTATTTCTTACCAAGAAGTAACTGAACTTTGCTAAATCCAATTTAAAAAAAAAAATCGTCTTGAAAATAGCGCACGTAGACGTCGGTCGATACCAGAGACTCTGCCTGCTTCCTTTATTTTTAAATAGGTTGATATGAATCAAAACATATTCTCTATCCAAAAATTGTTCAAAGATCTTTGAACAGTAAGCGTTTCCACAGCAGAGCTCCACGCAGGAATTCAATTCGCAAGTTTTGTCTAGAATTTTCTTAGTAGCAAATGTTGGGATAATTGATTTATGTATGTAAGGAAGTCTTGTTTAGAGGTAAATTCAACTCCATGAAACATCATTGGAAGCGACGTTAGAGCTAGAGTAAGACAAAACCGTGTACAGGAATATATTTTAGGTGTTTACTTTGCACTGTCAATCCTGGAAGCTTACATATATGATAATTCAAGAGCGCATTCTGAGTCTTTTGAACTTTATGTGGATACAGAATCCTCTATGATCTTATTGCTAGTTCTTTTGTCAACTTTTTGAGATGTTTTTTGGAGTTTTACCAGACAAAATTTCACAAATTTTCTTTTAAACCTATTATTCCTTAAAAAATAAAAGCTAATCCAGCTCTATGAGTTCTGATACAGATTCGCTTCTTAAAAGAGAAATGCCGTTATTCAAGTGAGAAGAGGTGTATGGCTGAACTGTGGTTGTGTTTTAAGAACTTTATACTTTTTTCAGATACAAGAGTCTGACTGCCGTTATTTAAAAACAACCCATAAATATCAATTATACAATCTTTTACATGTGATTTTCATTAAGCCTTGAGAAATATCTATCTACATTAGGGTGGTTCAAAAAAATGCAAAAAGTAAAATCGTAATTTTCTTGCTCTCACCCGCTAGGATTGTTCTATACCGAAAAAATATACCCCTGTTT